GCACTTTTACCAACTAGTTTTCTTTGAAGGTTTGCAAAGATTTTTGACCCAACTGCTAAAATTGTCATGAATGAAAAGCAATAACGATGCTTTCTCTCACTGTTGCTGTGTTTGATGTAAGAATTGTTGGGACGCTTTTACTGCACTTTTCAGAACATAACCTGTTGCCTATGTGAAAACTTAGTTTGTCAAAAGTACTTGCATAATGATCAGGTACAAGGTCTGTACAGACAGCGTACAGATTGATTGAATTATTCCACAGTTCAAAATGATTTTACAGTGACACTAAAGTCACTTAAAGTGCAGAGGGCTAATGTAACCAGTTAAATTAAGCGCAAGCAGACAACAACATCGGTCATGGTACTCAACTTTAGTTCCTTATCTCCTGCAATTCAAAATGAGCGGAGGAGTCCAATCTTGTCCCCTGAGGAAACAGAAGATCTTCATGAGCTGCTCTATGCCAAAATCCTGCCACTGAGCATGCTCTTTTGATTTATTGCGATCATGTTTAGGGGGCAGGAGCATGCATTCATGACTTATGGCAGCACCAGTCGAGGTCCATCTGTGTGCTGTCAATACCAGAAAGTCAACGGCAGATCCAGCTTCCTTCACCAACTTTCCAAGCCATACGTTGTCTCTTTTCTGAATGCTGCCTACTCAGCACACCACCACTGGACTTGGAGATCATCGTAATAAAACTACCAAACCTTCAAAGTTGTGTGCATACGCTTTATTGTGAATTGTGGAACTGAAGCCTCTGGCAAAACAGGCAAAGAGATGAAAACGTATCAGTTTTTTGGGTTGCAATTCAATATTGTGTATGCTTGTATTGGTGTTTCAGTCTTTATTTTATGACATAATGTTTCAGGAGAAAATTCGTGTTACAGATTGACTTTAGTTCGACCTTGTTGGGCACTAATCATGGGTCTTGTTAGAAACATCTAGATGTTGGACGACTAGCGTGTATGTTCCGTGTCTCTATCCACAGATCAGGGACATGAAAAGGATAGAGGAGGATAAGATAAGCTGCTTTAGAAGATCTATTAACCTTATTCTTCTAAGAATAACACCTCCTTTCTATTTTGTTGTTGTTGTCTCCTGTGTCTCTATTGTTAAAATGCCTTGTTTTCTGTGTGTCTCTGTTTTTGATGCTTTTGTTTCCACCTTTCCTTCTTACTAGTGAAGATGAAGATGATAAGATATGATACTGACAGAATGAATCCGTATGAAT